TAAGGAAATTCTATATATGGGTACATTAATTGCATTCTCAGGATTCAATTATGATTACGACATCCTTCTTCATAGTCGAATTATGAAAACATGGCAAATAAAAATATTGTAGCAAAAGATTAATCTAGAATCATGTCTTTATGTGAGACATCATGAATCGTGTCCCATATGCTTTGGGTATGGGATTGATTGCATGTGCTATACTATTTATCCTTTCTAAATTTTCCAAATACATGGGGGCATTAAGGGGGAAAAGTTCTAGAATTGGATATGACTAAAATGATTAAGCAGTTGTCGAGGACAATCTGAGGTTTACCAAAGATTAGTTGCTCAGGGACAAGTTGGAAGTATAGTGTTAATTTCAGAAGGACCATATTGACATATTCTGAAAGGAGGAAACACTTGTTCAAAAGTGATAGTCAAAATGGGAATATGGAAATGTCTCCATATGTGGAAATGATTCAATCTGTGTAAGATTAGAAACCTTAATGCAAGAAGGATGTTCAAAGTAGTATACTTTGAATACGAGACTTCGTTTCCATGGAGTTGATCTCCATTGGACTACTCTGGAATGACTGTTTACAAGTCTTTGTCACTTTGTGCATAATCATTACAAGAGGATCAGTGCATATAATTTTAAAATCTAATAGATTTCGAAAAATTGCAGGAATTTGGAATTCTTGCATTTGCAGTAAGGATTTGGGATTGTGAAATGAAATTCATTGGAGTTATGTTCAATCGATCGATTCCACAAAGTAAAGATCATAGACAAACATAGTGTGCATACTTGGTGTATGGTATGACTAGTGTTCAGAAAAAAAAACATAGTGTGCATGCTTGGAGCATGGGACAACTATTGTTATAATTCAAGTATAAATTTGATAATTTAAAACAGTATGAAATGAGTAATGTGTAATCAATACGGTGATAAATAAAAGTTGCTCTATTTATATTCATAAGTTTTGAGACCATATTGGATTCGATTATTCTTGTGTTTCACTTTGCATGTTTTGACTTCCAGAATAACTAGGTCGTTCTTCTTGAATGACTAAGTTATTCAAACCATCCACAGTCGATAATACATTGGAAGTAGGTATTAAGGCAAGACGGTCATGAAGTTGGTTTGTAGATGTCCAAGGTATTGGACAAAGCAAGAGTTGCAAAAACATTCATGAGTGCTCATAAGTTCTGAGTATTGGATTCAACTCACGCTCATTTGATTCACTTCATGTATTTTATCACGAGTGATCATGAGAAGATAATATCTTATATTATTCAAACCTAGAGATATGAGTTGTTGCCTATGAGTTGGTAGGGATACATCACTTATAGGAACATTTACGTGTGTTGTTTTATTTTAATACATTGTAATTTCTTTTAAAAGTTGTTCAAAAGATGTTGTAAATTGTAATGCTTTTTAATATTATGGTTGGTACTATTGTGTCATGTGTTTTAGCTTTAGCGGGGTGTGACACTAATAAAGAGTGTAATATGGATGTAAGTACACAGGGTGTACCTTAGGAGTATGCAACATGTACTGATTCGGAGTCTCGTAATATGGGAAGGCACTCTCTACGCCATGCATATAGATGGAGTACGCAGGGCGTACTCGACCTGGTTTGAGATTTTGACTTTTAACTCTTGACCGTTGACCATTAATTTTGACCAAGTTTGACTTGAGGTTATTTTGGGAAATTTAAATAGTAGTTTAAGATTAGGTCCCTATTATTGTATAGGTGATATGTAGAGGCAATATTTGGAGTAGCATTTTGTTCATCTATTTTTCATACTGTGAGGTGAGTTTTCCTCACTGTACTTGTGGGTCGAAGGCACTAATGTCAGCCCACTAGGTTATATATCCTATATAATAGGTTTTGATATGTTCTAGTGATCTGTTAGACCTGCATGATTATTTGTTTGTTGTTATATATTTTATCTATTGCATATGTTGATATAGTGCGGTTTGGGTTGATGCTTTACTGTTATGTGCGTAAGCCAACAGACTGGGGCATTCCAGTCTGATGGTTGATTTGGCTAAGGCATTCCAGTCTGATGACTGATTGGGCCATGATATTCTAATCTGATGACCGATTGTACATGTTGTATGTTGGCATTCTAGTCCGATGACTGATTGGGCCAAGGCATTCCTGTCTGATGACTAAGTGGGTAGGGGTATTCCAGTCTGATGATTGATTGGACCCATTAGATGTTTTATATGTATTAATGTGTGTGATATTTTGGAGGAACTCACTAAGCTTTGGCTTATAGTTTGAATTTATGGTTTCACCTACTTCAGAGGACAGGAGCAAGGCAAATGGCTGATTATGCACATCATCCTAGACTTTTATATGATTTTATGATTTTGGGATACTCTGATATATGATTGTGACTCTTGGAAACTTTGTTTTTTGTAAATCTTATGGATTGAAATGGTTTTGGAAAATAAAAATTTTTGTCTCGATTTTGGGATGTTATAAAGAGGGAGCGGATGGCGGTGGGTTGACTTGGGGGTCGATGTGATTTCCAACTTGAAGGTATGACAATGAATTTTGAATAACTCAGCCCATGAAGTGTATTGACCTTTTTCCATATCGAGAATGAATAGAATGAAGTTTCTGATGTTTGTAACAGTGATGATAGGGTGATTTTTGGGATCTACTGAAGAAGAAGATCCGAAAGAAGAAAGAAAGAGGAGAAGATCGGCGACTGAGAAGGGTTTTCAGAGAATTATAGGCTCTGATACCATGCAAATAGTTATAATGAATCCGTGTGTATTTCATTGATAATACAAGTATATATACAGGGTGTGATACACTATTTTCGATATGAGATATGTACAAAATCTCCACTAACTAATATCCCACAATATTAGGAAAGATAATCTTGTTGTGATGATAAGATAATCCCGGCTAATATAAATGAATGAACATGAACAACATAATTTGTTAAACGAACGCATATGAGCAAGCATCCTTTGAGTTCATTCGGTTCGTTTACGAATGAGTTGAGAGAAAAGTAAATGATATAAACAAATCCCATAGGCGATTGCGTTTGCGGAATGGATATATAATTTTTTAAAATACAAAAACATAAAAAATTATGCTATTGCTATATTAGTGGTACTCTTTGCCATTTTTAGAATTAAAGGATATTCATTATTAAGGATGTCGACTGACAAATTACTCAAAAGCCTTGGACGTGTTATACCATGCCTCTTAGTGACGTCGACTAAATCTTAATATAATTAAATGAAAAGTCTAGGGATGAAATCTATACTTTAGCGTGATGTAATTACAAACTAATCATTATTGTCCTATCCAAGCAGCTGCGGGTCCCACATGATCTCCATTTCTTTTGGAAAGGATGAAGTTGAAGTAGTACTTTTTGGAGGTGAAGGCATAGATTGGAATGTAGGCAAACAACCACGGGAGGCAAGTCCAAAAACTATGTCATCAATGGCGGATTATACTAAGAAATTGATAGTTTCCTTGTGTTGTCATCTTGCTTATGGAGATACTTGCCAAACAATTACATTAAATCCAAGACAAACAAATGGACCTCAAATATCACAACTCGAAGCAACGAGGAAGCATACCTTTGCAAGATGACGAATGCACAACTTTGGATCAAATAACAGAAATATATTTGAGAAAATGATTGAAAGCGCATAGCAAGACACAAAAAAGGGCAAATTTGTGATAAGTTAAGATTTAATGTGGAAAGTTTTAATTTCAAAGTGTTTCTAATTTAGTAAAAATATACATCCATTAAATATAATAAAAACACCTTACTTTTTGAGTCATGTTAGTGATTCTTTGGGTATTATGATCGATGGGAGATTAATGACGCAAAATTCATTCATATACGAAAACAGCTAAGGGGTTGTAGTGAAATTAATTTAAGGCCCAAAGCCACAAAAAACAATCAAAAAGCCTTAATATTGCAAAAGCCCAAGAACTTGGGAAGGGGAAAGGATCGGGAGTTAGGACGCTCAACCCAATTTTATATTGTGATGAGACTTAAGAAAAAAGCGAAACCATTCAACTTAGATAAAACAAATAATTAGAAACCCACATGCCACACTATCATAATCAACATCATAAAGACAAATGATTTTTTATGTTCACCTCTATTTGTTTTTGTTTGTCAATTGCCCACTTTTTTGAATTTCCGAATAACACTATATAAATTTAAGGTTCATTTTCTAAAAGCTTGAGGTACATACATACATAGTTTTCTTATAATGTAATTTATATATCTAAAAAACTTTGTTATTTTTATGGAATATTTATATACAAATAAAAATTACGGTTTCCAAATATCAGCTATTATTTCCCAGCTATTTTTGCCAACGACCCTAATTAACATAAGATATGCAATGCTTACGTGTTACTATTTGCATTAAAATGTTTAAATTCAAAATGAATAGGAGGATTTGCATCTACATACAATGGTTCAATTTAAGAAATCGTGATTATCTTTATCTAATATTGTAATATCTTTCCTATATCTCTATCGTTATTGCAATTATAGTACTTCCATACCAAATAAAGATTGGTTACTAATTGACTAAATGTCCTCCATAACATTCCATGAAACTCCCCACTTTCAAGAAAAACTCAAATCGTAGGCATGAAAGGTTAGTATTGGAGCAACCAACAATGGAGATTGGTAAAGTTTTAACAGTTCATCTATACACATATCATTTACACCAGACCCTTTATCTCCTTCAAAAAATGCTTACCAAACATCCAGCATCATCAGTTCATCACTACGCAAACATGTTGTTGAGTTTGGAATCTTGTTCACTAATAATTGATTGCACTTTCAAGATAATGGTTAGACTGATGATAAGAAATGCATCAGATTCTATGCTAAAAATATAATAAATACATTTCTTAATCAATACAGCTATCCCTAATTCCATATAAATAGAGCAACAAATAAGCATCAAATTAAACCATAGAGCTAACTTCAAAGAAACTTTCCATAACAAGAAAATGGTTCTCCAAACTCAGAGGTGCCCTGGAGCCGCCGTCCAACACCACCATGGTCCTACCTGCCAACAGCAAAGCTATTCAACATACCAAGAGACCGGCGGCAGAATCCAGGATGGTGGCTACACCAACTTCTCAACCATAACCGGGCCCACGCCTCCATACTCAAACTATTCTCAGGTGTCAACTTACTCATCGGAAAATTCTCAGCACCACCAGTCCGGTGGTGGCTACCATGGATACAGTGCCGCCCAGTACTGTGGTGGTGGTGTGGTTGCTAGTGGACAGCCACATACCGGAAGATATGAAACTTCTTACCATGGGAATGGGAATGGCCCCACTTATGGTTACCAAAAACAATCTTGGACTATCAAGGATCTTGATGACTGAATGAAAAGTTAAGAAGAATCGTCTGAATGGAAGTGTGTGGTCTCAAGTTATCTCTTAATAACGTGTGGAGTTTCTCCTTTTACTACATAATGTTATATGTATTAAATTGCATAAGCAGTGAATAATAAGTACCACCAACTCTATTGTCTATTTTACTCTACATATAATTGTGTAGTTATTTTCTTTGACAGTGAATTAACAGTGTGGAGATCTAACAGAAATAAATAAATAAAAAGATGAACCAATGCTCAAATATATCGACTTAATCTCAATATACAAGAAGAAATTGGATGTATCAGGAGACAAGCATATGATTAATACCATGATGATAAATGAGCCATAATATTGAGCGTAAGATAAAAATCAAGAGTAGGGTGTCTAAAGAGATAGACAATGTAAGCAATTTCTTGATTGCAAGACTAGGAAGGCAAACAATTGGCATATAGCATGGCCATTTATTGATCTAGGATGGTATATGAAGGGATATGGAGTGATTCTTCCACTTCCCTCCGCTTCCATTATTTAATGAAACTCGAAAATATTAATTTCATTTACTTTCTTCTCACTTTCATTTATTTTCCTTTTTTTTTTTTTCACTCATTAAGTTAAACTCGGTAACATGGTACATAAAATTTCTTGATTTTGACACTTGTCTTAATTTAGTGAGTAAGAAGATTAATAAGAACAAAATGTACATAAAATGTATGATTCTCTCACTTCTCGCTTGAATATTATATTATATAATAATTAATAAATTTTCTTCCAAATTATAATGACAAGTGAATGATCACTCAATTTATTAAATGTTATTAAAATAATGTTATCTTGAAAATTAGATAACAATATATTCTATAAAGTTCTAACAATATTTTCTTTGCAAATAATTTCGTGCTACATTTTCTTCTTTCTCGTCCTATGATCCTCCTACTTATGTTAAATGATGACATGTGTAACGTATATGAATTAATAATATTTTAATATATTTATCGTCATTCAACATGGTAGAAGAATATGTATAAAGAAAATGTAAGAAAATATTTAATTTCTCATTTAATAAGTATTGTTATCTTGCAATTTGGAATCAACTAGTAATTGAGCTCGTACTATGCAATGGGTTTTACGGGGTTTTGTTGTGTATTAAGAGTAGAAAACAAAAGGGTAAAAGTGATATTTTACAAAGTTTAAGGTGAAAGTGGTGAAAGTAATATTTTAAAAGTAAAGAGATGAAAATAGCATTTTACAAAATATAGAGGTTGCAAGTGACGGATTAACGAAGTTGAGGGTTTAAAGTTGTATTTTACGCATTATGATACTTGTACATTGTGAATCATCGGCTATAACAATGTGGAAGATAAACAGGAAAGTCTAGAAATCGAAAGGGTAAAATCGAAAGGGTAAAAGTGATATTTTACGAAGTTCAAGATGGATGGGGTGAAAGTGAAAGTGTAGAAAACAAAAGGATAAAATGATATTTTACAAAGTTGAAGGTGGATGGAATCAAAGTAATATTTAACTATTATAAATAAAAGAAAAACTTTATGTTTACCTATGTATTCTAACGAGTCCCAAAATCTAACTTAAATACAACTAGTAAAGACTAATAAATATATAAGAAATTGAGTAAACTAACCATTATAAATGAGGTTTTCAAAAAAAATAATCATATTTTTTTCAGTTTTTGAAAAATAATCACTTTCTCCGGAATGTTTAATTCTGTAGTACTGTCCATCTTATTTTATTTCAATTTATTTATTTTTTAAATTTTCAAAGAAATTATTTTGTTTTTTTGGGATTCTGAACGCTACATTTCATAAGGTTTAATATCATTGTTTTTCAATAAAACATCTAGTTTTATACACTCATATTGTATATATTTCCTATTATTATGTTTGTTTAATTTTTTTGTTAAATTAAGAAAAAAAAATTATTTTTTTCTTGAAATTTCGGAGTTGCTCTTGAAATTCTGGAGTTCTATTTTTCGAATTAGTCCGGAATATTGGTCCGGAATCCGGAATGTCATTCCGGAGTTAGTCAAAGAATGTTTTTTCTTTTTCCGGAATACCTCATTCCGGACAAAATGGTTATTTTTGTAAAAAAAATAAAAATAAATAAATAAATAAATAATAATAATAATAATAATAATAATAATAATAATAAAATAAATAAATAAATAAAAAGCTAAAATAAAATTGGGTTATTTTTTTCAAATATGCATTGAAAATTGGTTAGATTTACTTAATTTCCCTAAATATACACCATATGACGATTGAAGATTAAATACTTTACATATTTGAAGATTTATGAATCGTAAATTTAAGAATTTATTATATTTATTTCACACTTAAAGCTAGCATTACATTTTGTAAGTGTAAATTATATATATAAAAAAAAAAAAAAAAAAAAAAAAAAAAAAAAAAGTTAATAACATCCTGTTGGAGGTTTTTTAGTTTTATTTTATTTATTTATACAATAAAACTTTATTTAAATTTTTTAACAATTCCTTTCATTGTCAAAGAAGATACAATATATAAGCTACATGGTAACCAATAAAATATGAAGAACATTTACTAAACTAACTACCATCATAAAGTGTAGACACTTCTACGCATACATGTTCATTAGCCTTTATTCTTCCTAAACTCTAAACCTTAAACCCTACCACAACCATTCCTAAACTCTAAACCTTAAACCCTACCACAACCAATGACAATGTATGACAATGTGACAAATAAGGATGAACTTTTTTATAATTTACAAAGACATCCAATAAGTAATATATTAGCAACATCATTTGTTTAGTATACCCACAAGCCCTAATAATACATATAAAGAAGAAATCTTGTACGCTAATTGTCAAAAAAACAAAAGAGAAATGTTCTAAACAGAATAACTATTAGATATATGATGAAACCATACACTAACAAGAGTAACAAAATAAGTTCTAAAAGAACCTTTCTATCTAAGTCTTTAATTAACAAAATAAAGTTAAGTTTCACGAAAAACCATCATCTCCATGACCCTAAATAAGCCCAGAAAGTAACATCGACACCCATTCCTTTCTTTCTTCACTCTCAAGACTATAAAAAAGATCAAGTTTGGCTTGATCACCAACAATTATAGATGCTGCTCTAAGTCTTGCTTGTAGACCAAGATTTGGTATTCTCTTCAACTCCCCATTCAACCCCGCTCTTTTCTCAGCTGCCGCCTTATCTGCCGCCACCTCCCGCCCTACTAATCCCGCCAGAATCGAATACTGTTCCTCATTCCTCTTAAGCAATGCCTCAAATATCTTGGCCAATTCCATTCCAGACATACAACCTCCACTACCTTGACCTTGACCTTGACCTTTCTTCTTGTTAGCACTATCTGGAGTCCTTATAATATCATCTATTGAAGCATCATCATCATCATCATCATCGTTGTCATCATCATCATCATCATGGTCATGATCATTTAAATCATCGGCTCCCATTTCATCACCTTTATGATCATTTCCCTCTTCATGGTCAGACTCATGGTTTTCAGTCTCCAACACTTTCTCATTACTTCTGTATGCTTGATCAAATGCTAAATCACTAGTCTCGTATACTGTAAGGGTTTTGTTGCCATTTGATGCATCTTCAACAGTCTTGTGATTGCCTCTGGTTTTTCCAAATATCAGACACAACTCGTCATAGTAAGGAAATGGCTTATTTCTTAAGCCTTTGGCATCTGAATGATCCTACAATGCCAAATATAGAAACATATGAGAATGAGATTTAGAATTGTTGAGTATGTTTGAGAATTGAGATGGTTTACCTTCACCCAATCTTCCCATACATCATCATCATAGCATATTAATGTGGAATCTGCGCTTTTCCATTCTATACCAAATGCATCTTTCATATCTGTGATTGCATCACAGTGCTTCTTTAAGGTTTTGAGCCTTGATTCGATGTGGGGACTGGCTTTGAGATTGCATCCAGGAAGCTTTGATTTCAGTTCTTTCTCCAGGACAGTTGTGTATCCACTTCTGAAGATGTTATTGTCTCTTTTCCAACCATTTTGACATAGCCCTGTGAGTGCAGATATCAGTGCTTCATCTTCTCTTCTTGTCCATTTATGTTTCTTGATTTTGGAACCTCTTTCAGATACTCTACCCATTCCTGGAAAATACCAAACAATATAAGTTTCCGTTAGCATATCAAACTCAAAACTTGTAAAATTTCAATAACTGCATTTTTCATCTCAGCTGAAACCCTATTCCTTTTCGTGAAGTTCCACGCAGATATCAAATTTCTATGGAAGAATGAAGAGCGAATGTTAAAAACCCTCAAAAGTTGAACTGATTTCGCTTCTTTCATTCTGGAACGGAGTGAATATGATTGTACACTATCACATGACTAATATAACGATCAAATAGTATGCCGCTTTGGTTTTAAGCCATTGGAAGAAACCCTGTAGATATATAGACTCATACACACGCATATATATACATACATATATGAACACGTATAGTGGAGGCGGAGGCTATTAGATAGAAATACCTAGATTTCAGCAGGCTATGGGAAGAAGAGCGAGGCTCCCACGGTCGCCGATGGAGGATATCGACGGATTAGGGATGGTGGAGAGACGGCGGAATCGGATTCCTAATTCTAATTTTCCAATTTCATTAAGAACCGGATTTGGCGATTGAATCGATTCCGGAATCGGGAGACTGTATTCCACCAATGAACTTGTCAAACACGGGAATGGAATGTGTCCACTCATTTTCTTCTTTTGATTTATTTTCCTTCATAGATATCGGATTAATTCCTTGCAAAATAATGTCTTTTCCATTAATTTTTATTCTCAATGATATTTTTAAAATCAGCTATAAAATTTTGTGTTAAATTTGTATAATCAAATTGAAGTCCCACTTATCTTAAACTGAAATGGACGATAAAATTTGATACTATTGTTTTTTATCTGTTAGATGTAAGACTCGTATATTATATTGATTTATTAAAATATTAAATATAAATGTCAGAATATTTAAAAACTTTAGTTTTATAAGAAAATAAGAAAAATAACGAATTGTTAAAATTAATTTTTTATCTTTTAAATTTAAATAAATAAACAAAATAAACTAATGAACTTTAATTTGATTATTTTGAAATAAAAAATTAAATTCAGTAATGAAATTGATATTAATTTATTACTATATTTATTATGATTATTACATTAAAGTATTATGTGAATTTGTTAAAATAGAAAAACCATAAATAACATTTGGAAAAGAAATTAATTCAAAATAACCAAAAAACTGAATGAGTGTGACATGTGGTAAAAAAAACATTCATATATTAGAGTAAATTTATAAAGGGAAATAACATGAAAGCACTCATGAAATGTTTGGTTTTACCCAAAGAGTTTTAAGTTCAATAATACTTCATATTTTAATTGATTTTGTCATTTTCGCACTTTTATCCGGTTTAGCCCATCTCAACTGGTCACCAAACTAATTGGAATTGCTTACTAGGCTATAACTGCTGATGTGGCGTGCTGACTAGGGATGTCAACGGGACCAAACGGGAGCGGGAATAGCTGCCCCCACTCCCGCCCCCGAAATCAATTGTTGCCCCCGCTCCCGGTCCCACCCCGGCTCCCCCGTTTACATAGCCCCCGGTTACCTCCATCACCCCCGGTCCCGCCCCCGTTCCCCCGGTTCCCCCGCTTAAAATTCGTTTTTTTTTTTTTTTTTTTTTTTTTTGCTAAACAACTACTTTGTGTTAGGCTAAAAATCTTATTTTTAATAACTTTAAAAGTTTAAAACATAATCTTTTAGAAACTAAAAAATTAAAAATCCAACATTACGAATTCAACATTACAAAACGATAATTTCATCAATCTTAAAAATATAATATATGACAAATCCAATATTACAAATATAAAATACTTAATATCCAAAAATATATGATCAATTCACTACCTCTTCAAAATCTATTAATTGGAAAGGGGAAAGTGAAACCTAGCCTACACTTAAAATTAGAAAATCTATTTTGTATATGTATTTTATATTAAATATATATTTTTTACATAAATGTACAACCGGGGCCCCGCGGGAGTACAGGACGGAAATACCAACTTTCGACCCCGGTCCTGAAAATAAGTGGGGTTTAATTTTGCCTCCGCTCCCGCTCCTGGTTTTTTAAAAATTTAGTCTCGTATGGGATCGGGGTCCCATGGAGGTTTTTGACATCCCTAGTGCTGACAGGGAAGCCACATCAACGCCCATTCTTTAATTAAAAAACTTGAACAAAGGCAGAAGATTTGGAGCTGCAAAGAGTCGAACTCGAGCCTTTTGAGGGGATGTCCAACGACTTTTACACCAAACTGCTCTTCATTACGTGTAAACAATTCCGATTTACTCTATATATCATATATCAAAAATAAATTATTATTATTATTATTATACATAATTTAAAAAAATTATTGTATCGTTACGTATACAATACATATTAAATATACATCTCCACTCATTTTTATACTTACTTTTACATATGTTTTTATATGTGTATATATGATTTTAGATGTGTACATACGATTTTATATGTGTATTTTAGATGTTTAAATATGTTTTTTATATGTATAAATACATATAAAACATTTTTATATGTAACATGTATAAATTAACATGTTGAATATGTTTAATTTGTATAAAAATGTTTTCTATACGTATTTTAATTTATTTATAATTATTTTGTACACTTCATACGAATGGTAAATATAACGATATGATAATTTTTTTAATATATTTAAATATGTATGAAATATATTTTTATATGTTTACATACGTTTAAAAATATTTCTATATGTATTTAGATGTTTAAATAATAATAATAATATAAATTATTTCTGTTATACTATATATAGAAAATCTGAAAGATAAACATTTAATGAAGTGCAATTTTGTGGAAAAGTTCCTTGTCATCTTTATTGAATAGATGCTGATGCGTCGTCACTTCGCCAATGTCATGTCAGCCGCAATCCCAGTTTGCATTATTTCAGTTTTTTAATTAAAAAATGGGCGCTGATGTGGCTTGCCTCGTCCGCACCATGTCAGCAGTTTCAACTTAGTAAGCAATTCCGGTTGGTTTGGTGACCTGTTGTGAAGGGTCTAGACCGGATAGAATGGTGAAAAATGACAAAATCAACCAAAATTTGAAACATTATTGAACCTAAAATTTTTCAAATGGTAAAACCAAATATTTCACGAAAATTTAAAGATTTTTATATCATTTTCCTATTTATAAACTTATTTCTTCTTGCGTGGCTTATCCAAATAAAACATTAGTTAGTTATTTGAGTACACGTTTTCTTGTTTAAAATGGCTAATAAATCGTTTTGCATAAGCAATAGACATGAGAGTCAGAAGAGTCGGATTTCATGTTATATAAAAAATCAGTTTAATTAAGATTTTAGTTTTTATTCTTTTAGATTTAATATGTTATCATTAAGTTTTTGGTTGATTTATGATGTTTTATTATTACTTTTATCTACCATTTACATTGTGTTTTCTCGCATTGTAGAAAAAATTAAACAATGTGAGCATTTTACGTATCAAATGTGCATAATTACGTATGTTTACAACTCCTAAAAGTATTTCTTTGACACATTTCAAATGTAGAGAAATCTAAAAAGCGTACGTAGACTGGCATATAGTTATCTTAATATTATTATTTTAATCATTCTTATTAGTTATTATCTCACTCTAAATCATGGTTCTAAAAAGCGTGTCATGGTGCGAGACGTGATGTGCCCGTTACGAAAACGGTCAATGCGGGTTTGTGAAGCGTGACACCCAAATAACGTGTCAAGGCGTACCTTATCACGTTATGACGCAAGTTTTTTTCAAGGCGTGAGTTTTTTTTTTGTTTTGTTTTTTTTATTGAGCCTAAAATAAATGAGTTTTTGTTAACTTTTTTCTATTAGATATTAATATAACACTTCTAAAAGCTTCATATATTTGATAAAATTCAATAATTATATGATTTTATATCTTTTAATGTATACTCACTCCGTCCCAAAATTATAGTACATCTTTCTTTTTTGGTTTGTCCCAAAATTATAGTCCATTTCTAAAAATAAATAACATTTTTACCAAAATACTTCCTTATTATTACTTAACCAACTACACATTTAATGGAACATTAAATGTAAAGTAAGGGCAAAACTGTTATTTTATTATATAAAATTAATGGTAATTAATGTTTTTTTTAATCTGTGTGTTTTATGTCTGTGGATAATAATATTGGGACGGAGGGAGTATAATATAGTCACGCCTTGAAAAACATCATGGTTCGCCAAGGCTTGTCATTACTTAACTTTTACCTTGTCGCAAAGTCACGGCTTACGTTATTTAAACCTTGCTCTAAATCATTAAGGGTGCGTTTAGTTGTGAAATTTTTTTCAGTTTTCTAGGAAAATTTTCCAAGAAATATAGAAATTTTGAAAACACATTTGGGTCGTTCAGTTTTTCAAATTTTTTTTAAGAAAATGAAAATTTTCAGTTTTCCAAATTGTACGTAAATTAGAAAAGTGATTTTTACAGTTTTCCAAAATTTTCCAAATTTCTAGAGTAAATTACACGAATAGTCCCTATGGTTTACGATAATTTACATGTTTAGTCCCTAACTTATTTTTTTAACTCGGAAGGTCTCTACTGTAAGGACCTTCCGAGTTAAAAAAATAATAGGGACCAAGTGTGTAACAAAAACAAACAGTAAGGACCAAGTGTGTAACAAAAACAAACAGTAAGGACCTTCCGAGTTAAAAAAAAATAAGTTAGGGACCAAACGTGCAAATTACCCCAAACCATAGGGACCATTCGTGTAATTTACTCAAATTTCTAAGATGGAAAATGAAAACTCCACCCATTCCAACCAAACGCGTTTTCATTGAAAATTGAAAATAAAAACTCAACCCTATTTTCTGAAAACATTTTCATAGAAAATGAAAACAGTAACGGAAATTTTGAAAACGTGTTTGGTTCGTTCATTTTCCAAAATTTTCTAAGAAAATGAAAAAATTTTGTTTTCCAAATTGTATGTAAATTAGAAAAGTGATTTTTACAATTTTTTTAAAATTTTTAAGATGGAAAATGAAAACTCCTCCGGTTTCAAACCAAACGTGTTTCTAAAATTTTCATTGAAATTTGAAAATGAAACTCAACTCTATTTTCTTAAAATATTTTCTTACAAAAATAAAACCAATTTTCCACAACCAAACGCACCTAAGTTTCACCTTTTAACAATATTTAATAACTTGTGCCGGCAATAAGTGAATTTTCAATTTTCTTACAAAGTACCACAAATAATTACAAAATGTGAAGTGATATTGCCACGGAAGAAATTGATACTTCCACGGAAAAACATATAGAATGACAATTATGCCCCTATTTAATTAAAAAGGTACAATCACATTAAAAAAAAAAAAATCCATTTTCTCTTTGAATTAACCGCCTCACTGTCTCATACCAGTCAACGATCATCACCACATCAACATCCTCTAGAGAAGAGGGAGAAACACGTGCCTTTACACCACCGAAGACCGCTCCTCTTTCCACCTTGACAGTCATGAGGATCGACAACATCTTTACAAACTGCATTTGGAGATATCACTGATGTTGTGGTAAATAATCATATGTAAGCACTTTCTATGTTTATTAAGCTTTACCTATTAATTTGTTTTTATAGGGTTTTGATTTCAGAGTCATCTAATTCTACGGAGGAAAATATAGAGTCACTCCAACCCTAAAGCAAAAGTTCGGAAAGGATTTACCTCGGAAAGATTGAATACAATTTATGCTCAACTATTTTTTTTTTTTTTTTTTTTTCCAATTTTGAAGTTATGAAGGCAGGTTGTGTCACTGGTCATGGTGAATTCAACCTTTGATGTCAAATCTTTTGCACAACCATTGATGTGCCTCTGCACTCTCCTTTAATCTTTCTCTTAACTTGTTTTTTTTTTTTTTTTTTTTTCATACACAGATATAAAGATAGATCTTCTGTTTCCGGTTTACATTATTTCTGCTAGATAATATTTACTCCATTTATATCCTTCACCATCAGTCCATATCTCTTGTTTGTTAGTTTGGGCGAAGGCTGGCTTCATTGGGTTTGTAATTGTATGGTTTAAATTGACTTGTTGTTAGCGACATTAGATAGTCCGATTAATTACTTGGCGTGGTTAATTAAAGATTCATGAGGGTATCGAACTCGTTGAAATGAGCCTGCTGCAAGCCATGGGCACGGTCAACTTATGGCTACTGTTTGTACCGATGGTGTCGGCTGGAGATGAATCTGCTGAAGAGCATCGCCGAAGGAGGACGAAGCGCACCTTTTCCGTTCGTCGTTTGGAGTTCGGGCCTAATTGTGTGTTTCATAAAATAAAGATTTTCATTTATTTCTCTTAGATAATTAAGGGCAAAATTGTCAATCTATTTTTCAGTGGATGCATCAAAACTAGTCAGTGACAATATCAGCTCCCTTACAAAATATAGATTCTGTCATAAAAAATGCATATTAAATAAACAAATAAACTAGACTTATAACATTAACACATAGTTTCGCTGTTGGGTGTAGAAACATTTCATTAGCAGCCCCCATGTCAAAATGTTGAGATAGGTTTAACAACACAAACATCAAACATCAAACATATACCGACTGTTTACACAAATACAATCCCAACACTCAGAAGTTAAATATACTTATATACCCCTTACATTCAAATAAGTTTGTTTTTGAAAATCAAAAGAAAATTTCAATGAATCATTACATCAAACGGTTCATGTGCAATTAAGATTATAAACTAAGATACAGAAGACGAAAGAGTAATAAAAAGCTACTCTGTAAAGTAGTTAGGGGAGATGGCCACCGACTGAAGATGCCAAGTCAAGTTTATCAGATTAGTTTCGCAAAAGTCCGGGGTGACGGACCAATAATTGCCGAAGCGAGTAACTCCAACATCACCGATCCGGCGGCCGTCGTTAGTGTAGTCGTCACAGAGGATGTTGAGTTGTGCGATTTGAGCGTCCTGCTTATCATCGAGTTCCAGGTAGAAGTTGCCTTGGAATCGTACTCAAAGTAGTGGGAGGCGTGGTTCAACCGTCTAGTACCTGACCCGAAGATTGAAGTACTGGGGTCCGGGAACTCGCGGATCGATACATGTTTGAAGAGGATCAGGCTGGCGGTTGAGGTGTTGGGGTGGAGACTGCCTAATGAACAGTTCCCTTTCCAATGGCTGTTGAAGGTATGCATTCCACCGAGGAAAATATCGAACCAATACAACCACTTATCCATATGGGCATAGTTGCAGAAATCAGTAATACGAGTCCACCGGTCTTCTCGGCCTTCAATGGGCGGGTCAGCGGTGGCGTCGGCGGCAATAGGAGCGTGTTCGGTGTCGTAGGTGAAGGGATGAGGGAAATATTGAGCATTACTTATTCGGGATGCGTATCTCGCCATCAACCCATCTGAGGATGCTGGGCGACTCCAGAATCCAACAGATTTAAGTAACATGTTGAAGTGGGGAAGCAATGGGCGTGAAACTCCGAAGATCTTCCGAAGCTGCTCGTATTGTGAGTATTTCCGGGGAACCTCGGTGGTATCAGCCAATAAGTACAACATTAAATAAAAAAATTGATCGATCCTCAGTGGAAGATTGGGGAGCATCATGGTTAGGCCTTCAAAGTATTCCATGTTGGAGTTGGGGTTAATATTCAGGTTATACAGCGACTCCTCGCTGATTGAGAGAACATGGATGGCGGGAAAGACATCCCAGAAGTTTCCAGTGCCTGGGGAACTGACAGAGATGGAACGGAAGAAGGGGACCAAGGGACCTGGAATGATAATGGTATCCAGGGGGAAAGACTTTATGAATGTATCCAACCAAATTCGTTGGGAATGCTCAAGATGGTGAGCAATGCCCTGAGCACGAAAGGTTTGGACGTAAGCTAAAACAGAGAAGACGATGTTAGATCCAATCGCAGACATAACCATTCTCACCAAATCCACTTAAGGAACACATCTTATTGTTCATTTCAGAAAGAATGTTGATCATCATCCCAAAACTGGGGACGTAGAAGTTGGGGCCAGCAAAGGTCAACTTACGGAAGGGCTGGAAGCTCGAAACCCGACGGAGCTCGTTGACGGGTTCAGAGTCAACGTCATGTGGCTTTACTCCTTCAGCATCGTGTTTGTGTTGGTAGCCGGAGTTGTTCGGTGGAAGAGGGCGGTCAGGGTTAGGGTTTCCAGACATCTTGCATAAGGTTACCGTTTAGCAATTGAAGATAGATGGGTAAAAACAAAAACGTAAAAAACGAGACTGTTTTAAAGTTTGTATTCATCTTTTATTTTTTAACTAAAATTTTATCTGGCTCAAGTTTTGGGGACAATAATGTATCCCAAGTAATAGAAAGTAAGTTGTTATAATTTGCTAAGAAATTTAAGAAGACCTAAGTTAACAAACTACAATAGTAAATGACAAAAGTCATGCCAAACAGAAATAATCAAAATTGTATTATATGCAAAACGTATATAAAAATAAATATTGGAACATAAAAAAATTACAAAGAAACGTAGACAAATTCGAATTTATACCGAAATATACATAAAAAAAAACAAATAATTATTTTAAATTAACAAACTAAAGTTTTAAATTTACGTCAAAATGTTGACCACCTCTAATTTTTGTCGACGTATACGAAAGGTTAGAAAGTTAGAGGAGTGGTAACCGTAGGTAAATCAGATTATATATATTACGATTGATAAAACAAAAGTTAAGAAAATAGAATGGATGAAATTGATATTTTTTAAAGTTTAAGTACAGGGATTAATATAACAAATTAAAAAGTAAATGGTTGAAAATTTAATTTTATAAAATATAATAGCAAACTTCTGAAGACTTAAATTGCAAAAAGTTAAAAATTGTAGACGTTAGTGATTAAATAAAAGAGAAGAGACAATTAAAAACAAAGAGTGAAAATGATAAAGGTAAAATGAAATATAGAAAAAATATAAGGGAGAAAAATCAAAAGAATGGTCAATTGATATTGGTTTTTAGAAGATATATAATTTTTCAATACTAATAATATAGGTCCCATTTGATAGTTAATTCAGAAATGTTGATTAAAAAAATATATCTAGATATTAAATCATGACTAAGTAAGAAATCAAGTTGTTTGATTGTACTGATTATGAAAGATAACCATTTTATTTTACTATTTTATATAGTGATGGATGAAGTTATAATTATAAAAATATATAAATTGTCATACAAGATGTAAATAATTATATATTTTATCACCATAGAGTTATAAAGCTCAGGTACGTTTGAATTCAACAGCAAAATCAATTGAATAACAAAATTGGCTATGGAGAAGAAGTTATGTATTACCCGATCATATGTATCTTTTGAATCATGCTTGAATAATATGATTAGCTTGATTGTTTAAACAAACAAAAAAATATTTTAACAAAAATCTCAAATCTTGTAGAATTAATCGTTATACAAATTTGAAACGAAATAATCATAGTAAATAATCAAAATATTTGTATGAGAAAATGAATTCAATAGTATAATAACAAGAATCGAATAAAGTACTTTTTAAATAGTACTTTATTTGATTGGAATTTAATCAGTACAAGCATTTTAAGAAAAGATGATCTGGAAATCTAGAAACTTTGAACATCAAAAGGTAGATAGAGAAATAGTAAGATTTTTTGTAGGCATAAACTATACATTTGAGATAGTGAAATTTTTCGAATGAATGAAACTAAAAACTTTAACTCAATTTATAGAAGATTTTTGCTCTTGATCTTGGTAACCAAATGTTTACCGAATCTTTTCTTGAATAATTTTTCTTTGTAATGTACATGAGTGGTTGGAATAAAATTTCTTCTTTTGATAATGTTCTGGTCTTCTCGTCATAATGGTTGTCAAATCATTCTTCTTTAGACAATGCTTTTTCTTCTTATCATAATGGTTGTCAATTCTTCATAATGGTAGTCAAATTTTCAATTATATTGTTGACACCCTTTTTAATTATCAATTTTGAATTCTTGAAGCAAATAATGATAACAAACCTGCAATACGTATTTTGATAAAGTATTTTGATATAAGTTTTTACACACGTATTGTATATTGTATACATACATAATGCATAATACCCTATTTTTTGAGAAACTAGATATCTTGAAAAATATTGAAACGAAATACCCTACATTGAAGGTATACACCAAAATAAAATTTAGAATATTTTATTCTTCGTATGGATCATCAAACGGGTCTTGAGCGTCTTGAAGTAATTGAGTTCTTTGAGTAGATTCATTTGATTTTGTAGGGTATCTACGAATATCCTGTAATAAACGATGAAGTTCTTCTTGTGATGAACTGGCATCGTTAAGAATTCTAGCTACTAGTTCAGGATCAGGGAGAGGAGCGTTCTTGATTTCTTCTTTTTTGCTTTTGTAGAATGATGGATTTCTTGATAATATTTGATCACATGCGTTGAGGTGGCTTGAGGAAGTTTGAATTTTTCCCACCATTTTATTCTATATTTGTCACACCCCCAAACCGAAACGGATGAAACGTTCGGGGGGCGGAGGA